TTCAGGTGTTAACCGTGTTCGTCCGACCTGCATGGGCTCTGGTTCGTTAGCAGTTGGCGAAGCGTCAGGAAGTGGAAGTTTGTTGGCGGGTGCGGAAACAGGCCTCCAGGGATTCTGGGAGTTGTAGTCCCGTTCTTTCCTCCTTTAACGGAGTCTGTTGTCGATGCGGATAGACAAAGCAATTAATTCGTCCAGGCTCCCGGGTTCATTACGGGAAGCCAACTGATCCTTAATTTGCTCGGATAATGAGTTTACAAAGATACCTTTCAATGCCAACTCTTCCCAGCCCGCCTCCTCAGCAGCAATGCGAAAGTCCACTGAGTGCTCAGCAACAGACCTCTTTCCTTGGCGCAGATAGATAAGACGTTTAGCTGCTGCCTCCTGCTGGAGAGGGTGATCAAACACGTTGAAACTCGCGGAGAAAAACTTGAATGGTGAGGGTTTCGGCGGAATGAGCCGACAAAAAAGCTTGTGCCCACTTCAAAGCTTTTCCTTTAAGAGAAGTTACGATATAAGTGATTTGCGCTGAATGGTTGGGGAAGAGAGAGGGAGATCAGGCAAAGGCTAATCTGCATTGCAGTAAAAAATCTCTACATTGATTTACATTACCATCAAAGAATTCGGATGGCTTGAGTTCAGGTTCCCGGGGGAAAAAAACTGGTACCGGCGCGACAGGAACTGGAGAGGGCGCTGGAGTGGTGGGAGTGATGGTGTTTAGTCTGTTATCTATGGAGATTACACTTTGAGAGACTTGATTTAACATGGTCTTAGTTTCTAGATGTAACTGAAACAATTGATTTAGCATACGTTCATGTTCATTAAGTTTATGTTCTGGAGAAGAAGAAGTGTCGGACCCAGGATTGTCCCCGGTATTGCTCATGGACATACTGCTTGGCTGATACTATCAGGTTTACTAAAGTCAACGTGAGCAAATACCAAGAACACCGGAGACAGAAACTTGAATAATAAAAAAGATTTGTTTATTTACACAGGGATGGAGTGGGGAACGGGACCTGGAAGCAGAGGAGTTGCAGAGGTAAGTAAAGGATATCCAGGAAGTACTGTTTGATAGATAATAATTGCTTACGGGTGAGGGCTTTGGGTTTAGCATAGAGGAGTAGGTCCAGAGTCCAAAAATCCAAACGTGATATTTACAAGTGAATGTCGTATTTACAGGTGATTGTGAGGCGAAGAGGCAGCGCATGGAACAGGTGAGAGGCTCGGCAGGCAGGCAGACATGATTGGGATCCAAAATAGTTCCAAGGTGATTTCCTTATTTCTGGAGACAGGTAAATACACAAAAACACGGGGCTAGGTAAACCAGGTTTACAAAAACAAGTCACAGGCTGAGATCATTACCAAAAGCGGTTTGATGCTTCAGCGACGAGTTGATCCTCAGGTCTTCCTTTTAAAGCCAGCAGTGATGAGCCAGTTCCTTGCAGGTTCGTTCAATCAGTGTTGCCAGGTACACGGGGAGGCATGAGGTGAAAATCACCAAAATGCCTCAAAAACTACCTAAACTCATTAGAGATAAAATATTATGCAAATATTGAAAATAGAGGGGAAAATGTGCATGTGAGGAAATTATTGAGAAGAAATGTTAAAAAGAAAAAAATAAGCATGAATATAAAATTCTTGTTCTAATGCTTATATTTCTCATAAAAATATCTTATTCCCCAAAACTATCAAAAGTAGAATTACCAAGACTAATAACTCATTTAATATAATTAAAGACAAGCAAACTAATAATAACCAGTAAAAAATGATTGACATAAAAAACAAAATTATTACTTGCCAACTGACTTCATTAACTTGATGTTTTATTTGAAGCTGGTGGTTTAGTAATCAGCTGTGAAACTGTAGCACCAATCCTTGGCTTCAAAAAGTAATTGAGGTCATCTACAAGTGACCCCGTCCACCAGGCTGGATAACACCAACTAAGAGATTGACGAACTGGTTGAACCCGTGGTCACACTGTCACAAAATGTGTGTCTTAGATGACCTCTGAAAAAAGTCAGCACAATCTGTGCTCGTTCCTTGAACTCAGTTTTAATG